AGGCAAGCAAGATAGTCTTATTAGTGTTTCTCTCTCATGCTTGATATCTAATTTCTTTGGGGAAGTACATATATTTACCAATTTAAATCCTGTTGTTCACTTCATTTCTAGTACTTCTTTGTTTTCAATTGCTAGAGACAAGTAAACAGAATCAATATAAATTTTATCATTCCTAGAGAGTTAAGTCAGAGATAGCTAATCTTCTTCATTTATTTTTTAGCAATCAATGCCTATGAATAGAATGTGGGTATTGTAGAGGATGTGTTTTTAAGAAAGATTTTAATAGCTTAGTATTTTCAGTGACATCTAAGGCTATAAAATCTTCTCACTGAACACAAAGACAGAGGCTGAGCTAAGGTTTCATTTGCTACCTTAATTTAGATGGACATGATTCCACATGAACAGATAGGTTCCTTGCTTAGATCAGTGTTTTCAAAATGTAATTTTTTAACAAAAGAAGTAATATAATATTTTTAAGATTAGAAGCAGTGGGAAATATATTTGAATGCATGGTTCTGTGTAAATGATCCCTACCAAAAATAATTTATATTACCAAAGTTTAAAAATACAAGTAAATGTCCTCCATGTTTGTGTTTCCACATGCATGTTCACTCCTTATACATGTAAATAACAAGAAATCTGTCCTTTTATTAAAATGCATCTGCTTAAAGGAACTCTTTCTGAGAGAATGTTAAAATTGATGGTACCCAAAGGTTACCTGAGAATGAGATATATGAAGTTTTAATCTTAACAATTTGATCTTTATTTAATTAAAACAAAGGCCCCTCTCACCAACCAACTGACATGACACCACCATTACTATTTCTGTTAGAATTAAAGCTATTCAAAAGTGCAAACAGGAATAAAGGAAAGGTAAATAAAACTTTTAACTGTGTTCTTGGAATTATTTCCCTAAAATTGTCCTGTTCTACCTGTAAATGTGCTGTTGGATTATTGGAAGTTGATGTTTGTATCTTATATGATTGGGTCATCCCAAGAATGAAAATTTAAGTAGAATCAATACATTCAGTTCCAATGTTCTAGAATAAATATACAGAAATGCTTCTTGTAATGGATCTTACTGGCAAAGAAAAGCCATCTTTCTAGTAACAGCTTTAATATTTTGAAATCATTAAAGAACACTGAAGCGATAAAGATGTTGGGAAAATAAAGGTCAGCAAGCCCACATAGAGAAAAAGTTGGGGTCCTGTGGATTATGCTGCTTTGTCATCAACCTAGGGCCAAAAGCTCCTGGAGAAGACCAGCTCTGAGATGCTGCAGAGATAAAAACCTGGTTTTAGATGCTATGAAAACAATTCCATATGGATTACATCAGAAGGTGTCTATAATAGGGTTTTAAATACTTCCTTATCTTAGAAAGCATTTCCTGTGATTTAATTGATAATCAGCCACATCCAGAACAATGAACAGATGTATAAAAGGAAGCATATTTCCCTGGAGCAGACGAAACAGGAAAACAAATTCAAAAACACATGCGAACATATCTCAATTTCTGACTTGTATTCAAATCTAATATTAAAAACAAATTCATGTTGACCTCACAGGGAGAATTCATTTAGATGCTCTTTGTTAATTTAAACATGCTATCTTTGAGTTTTTCCTTTTAATAACCTGCACACTGAATTTTATATGAGTGATCTGTTTCACTGTCAAAATTTTGTTTAAGCAGCTGCTTTTATGATTTCCTTAGTCCTTACTGAAAAGGCACATAATCTTAGCTCCTTAGTTTAGTGTTCAAAACCCTCCATCATCTGGCCAAAATAAGGCTTTAGGAAGAGGAAAAGTAAGAATTTTTTAATAAATTCATATATTTGTTTTCAAGTCTCTTCTCTCTCTCTTTCTCTCTCTCTCCCTTTCATCTTCCTTCCCCCCTTCCCTTCCTCTAAAACAGAAAAAAATGTATTCAATATATTGTAAAGAGAGGTGGACTAGGCAGTAACAATACTACCTGCAGATTCAAGCAAATCTCCTTAGAATGTTTATAAAAATTGCATCAATTTTCTAACCAAAACTTAAAATTCTTTTATAAATATAATTATAAAAATCAATCAGAGAGTGTGGAAAACTATTGAGCACATAGTTGCAATGACAAAGTTTCTGCTTAAAGGAGAAAATAATTTAAATATGGCTGTCATTCTATTACCAACTTAAATTAGGTTTGTGGCATACTTCATAAGCTGAGACAGGTATATTCCTTAGCCTACAGTTGCCCAGCTTGTAAGTTTAGGGCCCACCTAAACTGAGTACAATTTAACAATTTGATTTAACAGTTTTCTAAAAAAATGTCTAATGCTTATTCATTAAATATATAAAAATATACATGTGCACAAATGAAACAAATCTAGATATTTGTGATATTATTGCAAAATAGAAAAAAGTTTTAGGTTAGCAGTTGCTATTTGATAGAAACTTACTGTGTATTTCTCTTTCTTTATTGTAAGGTTGTTTTATTAATGAATAAATATATTTTCATATGCTTTTGTGTAACTTCCAAAAATACACAAATAGATTTATTCTCTTTTTAAAATGTATGCATTTTAACATGCATAACTGTTTCCTTATTGCCTATAAAACATAGTAGTAGAGCTGCTTCCTAGTATCCATAAGGAGAGTCTGGAATGCCCTGCAAATACCCTAATTTGTGAATGCTCAGTCTCTTATATGAAATGAGATAATGTTTGATAAAGCCTGTACGTATCACTGAACAATTTAATCACGTTTAGGTTACTTAGAGCATCTATGATACTCTAAACACTATGTAAAGAGTGGTTGTAATTTTTCAGGTAATAATGACAAGGAAGGCTGTACATACTCAATAAAGTGCACTTTTCTTCAGAAATTATTTGATCTGATGCTGTTTGAATAAGTAAATCATTATAAAGCCTATGAATACAGGTAATCAACTGTATCTACCCAAAATATTTTATTTATAAGTTAATACATATTTAAACAAAAATGCAAATCATTTTTGTTCTGATTATTTTATAGTAGTACATAAATGTTTATCTTATGTATAATTCTATTGTAGTAGTGATGTCATAAATAAAGATACAAAAATTTGGAAAGGATTATATTCAGTAAACTTCCACATCTGTATTCTAAATTAAAGCTTTATTTTTGTGTATATGTTAATAGATAATAGTTTCAAGTTTCACTCTGTTGATTATCTTGATACTTTAGTGAGAAAATTTATGTTTTGGAAATGACAAGATAATTTTAAACATGTCACGTAATTATCACCAAAGAAATAATACTAAAAATAAAACACACGTATGCTTAGATATGCACCCTTTTAAACATAATAAAATATCTGTATCAAATGGAAATGAATGGAAGGGGTCTTGCCTAAAAGCAAAAGTCTAGAACTATTTAGTGAATATAAAAGTAAAGCTTAATCCACCTAACCACAGTTTTTGACTTTGGTGTTCAGTCACAGTTCACAGCCTGTAGATTTAAGCTGATCAACTGCCACGGCAAAGCAAGGGTGGATGTGTACCCATGTGGATGTGCACATTAGCATACATATACACTTGAGAAGAAAGTGAGTATCAAACCAAGACAGAAATGCATTTAGGAACAGGGAATAATGTATGGAAACTTGATTCAGAATGTTAAATTATTTTTTTGGTATACACATTACCCTTGAATTTAATTTTTAGTGGATTCAAAAGTGAAACTCTCCTTTTATACTAAAGAAAATAAGTCAATACAAAAGTCACAAGTAATTAAGGATAGCAAGGAATATGTTCTAAAAGTGTGCATGTCGGGAAGGGGTATGTGCATGTGCTTGAGTTTTTCACCTTGTAACTTGAAACCCCTACATCAGAGACAAGTAAAACTCATTTTGTTTAAGGCTTTTTCTTGTATTTTATGTCCAGTTTCCATTCATTTTCAAATAGGCAATAAAGCAACCTCATTTTTTTCTGTCATAAGTAAAGCAACATAAATAAATATAACAGTGATTTTTGGATTGTTAGAATATACATGTATAGCTTTTTCAATATAGCAACTACCTAACATAATCACTTTCTTCAAAGGCTTGGCTTGCCCATCCTTCTGTAGAGATTTAAATACTCAGAAAGCAATCAAATTCCCAAATCACATTCAAATGATTCAGTGACATGAGCTGTATAAACACAGACATAAAAAAATTGAGTCTGTTGAGCTAAAACTTCATCAGAGATAGAGATATTCCTTCCTACTTTTCATGTAAGTCATCCCGCTGCATCAAAGTTAGTATGCGTCCCCAGATTATCTAAATCACATTCAGAGCATGCTTAGAGATTAGAATATATTGACAAATTGCCTCCACTTCAGTGGATTGTAATGTTTTGCTTCGCTGGCTATTATAATTCATATGCACTGGATTCTCTCCTGCCTCTATGAATTTAGAGTGATGTGTAAAAAAATTTAAAGTAACATGTAAAGCAGCCTTTAATAAATTTGCATAAAAGAAACCTTGTCTATTAAGACCTGTAACTGGCTGTACAAAATGAATTTGGGAACCTAGTTTTTCTGGTGAAACAGAGTTCTTTTTGAGGCTATTACAATTAAGCTGATTGCTCTACAACTACCATGTACAAAATAATACAGCCCATCATCAGGTAGAGCCCACTTCAGTCCATCAGTGTATGCCTTGGCATGTCCTATAGTGTCTCCAATGTGAAATCAGAATAACTGAGAGACTTTATATATGAAAATATTACCAATGGCCCACTTAAACTTGCTAAATGTAGTAAACATGAGAAACTCTGGGTTAAATAATTATTCATATTCTCATTTCAACCCTGAACATACACAGCTCTCCCTTGAATACTAATGGGACAAATTCAGGAGGAACAGCAAATCACCTGATTTTTCTTTAAAGAAACAAAGCCCACATTTCTGCTTGGCAAATGCACAGTCATATGAGTGCTATTATCGAACATGTAAAATTCGGATCACAGAGAAGAAAGCTAGCAGATGAAGAAATTGCTCACCTGGAGGAAGCGGATCAACAGACTGAAGTCTAGTTGTGATGGTGTGTAGGGTGAGGATAGCAAAGGAAAGCAAAGTCGGGAATGCTTGAAAAATAAAATATTTTTAGTTAACAAATAGCAAAACCAAGTGGGACAAAAAGGGCCAACTGAGTCATGAACCCTTCTCTATCAATAGGAATCTTTTTATCAAATTCCCAAGAAAGATCAATTTCTGAAACCTATGATCATTAACAATTCCCCACATACATAAGACTTTAGTCTTCCCAGAAGAAAATTACTTTTAATAGGGTATTTTCACTTAAATGAGATGGAAACATTACAAAGTAACTACAGGGTTCTTAGTTAATGAAAAAAGAAAAAAAATGGGGATGAGGATGAATTCATTTATCTAAGTTAGGATAAATAATTTTCTAGCTCAGCAAACAGAACATGTTAACCACCAAAATGAGTCCCTCACTATTACATTTACACTCCAAGATGCCAAGGCTTAATAAAAATATTTACTGCATTTTAATGTTCATTACATAATATAGGTTGTCTGAAATTCATAGCAACAAGCTCTGTAATTTAGCTATTGTTTGTGGGTCAATTAATATTAAGGAGTGCACCTTAATAATGGTTATCAATATATCTAACTAGTACCAAATATACACAAATACAATTATGTGTAGTAACACATACACCTATGTATCATAAGTGTCTATTCTCAAATATTTATGTTCATGGTACATGTAATATTAATGTACAGACATATAATTTTTAGATGCAACTTTTTTAACCTGCTATGAAAAAGTAAAATAGAGATATAGGGAAATTCAATATATGTTTATTTACTTAATTATTTTTGCATTTTATGACCCTTTATTTTGGTATAATATGGACATGTATAATTGAACTATCTTAGAATAAAGAAAAAAGGAAAGAACATTTTGTTTTGCATTAGTGTTACTGAAATATGCTGTGAATATGGGGGATCAATTACAACCTAAATGTTTTGCCAAAAGAAAAAAAATCTTGTTGGTAGCAAAGGTAGCTTTAAGTTAAAACATTGTTCTCATTTTCCTAGTTTCAAGTCTTATTCCACGTCTGCAGCTATCCTTCTCTTTAAATGCAATTCTGTAGTTCTAATGTATAGCAGGTTGATTAGTTACCATCAGAAAGTGCACGCATTCCCTCCTTGTTGCCCTACAGATGTTTCTTTCATTTTTTTTCCCTGGGTTCATGTTTAATTTGTGTATGATTCCCTTCTCTTCTTAAAGCCTAACTCCCACAACAGATGGTAACATCTGAGAAGGTCTGTCTTACGCACATGTTTAATTGTGATGTTTAACTCAGCAAAGGAAGCACACAACTAGAATATATGTATAAGGAAAGGATCAATATACTCCAAGAATCCTCATTACAGTGGTCAATGTAAAATTCTGAAAGGACACTAGTTCTTGCCACAGACATAGAACCAAAAAACCAAAAACAAACAAACAAACAAAAAAACAAATAAAAAACTGTGTGACCTAAGACAGTCATTAATTTTAATTTGTTACAGATGCATCATCTTTTCTGCATATGACACACTTTTCTAAAATTTTCATCATACCAGTACGTGGATTTTTTTTTTACTACATGATGGCTATTTTACTAGGTAAATACCACTTTATATTCACTTGATGAATATCCAAACTCACTAGTCAATATCTAATGCATTTTAATACATTCAAAGTACTATGTATTCTTAAATAACATAGCTAAAGTCACTTAAAGTGCAAAAATATTTTCATTAAGGAAATTAACCAGTTTAAGGCTGCACACTGAGTTGAAAATTGAGTCCCCTAAATTCGTGTCCATCTAGAACCAGAGCATACAAACTTATTTCTAAGTACGCCTTTGCAGATGTAATTACATAAAATGAAGTCATACTGGATTAGAGTTGGCTCCAATACAAAGGCTGATGTAAGAAGACAAACAGGGACATAAAGAGGGGCAAGAAGAGCACCTGGAGTCATGGAGGTAGCTATTAGAAGAGGGCTCTGCGGTGGCTGACAACCACCAGAAGCTGAGAAGAACGCAAGAAGACTCCTTCCCTAGACAAGCAGAATAAGCAGGAGCCTGCTGACACCTTGGTTTTTCATTTCTAGTCTCCATATCTGTGAGAACTCATAGCCCTATTTTTGCACTCCGCAGTTACCAACACTTTGAAACTATACAGACCTAGCAAATTAATGCAGCCTTCAAGAAAAGAAACTTCAAGATATAAAATACCCAGACTATCTATCTATCTATCTATCATCTATCTATCTATCTATCTATCTATCTATCTATCTATCATCTATCTATCTATCTATCTATCTACCTATCTATCATCTATCATCTATCTATCATCTATCTATCTGTCTAGAAAAGGAGAAATGAGAAGGTATGTCCTGCAAAGTTAAAGCAAGATTAAAATAACAAATTCAAAATAGTGGCTTTTTTCCCTTGCAATGATTTTGAGAGGCTTTGAATGAAGAGTTAAGACATACAGCTGAAGACTGACACCACTGACTCCAACCCCTGACATAAATCACTCAAATATTTGATAAATATTTTTTTCCAAATAACAACAACAAAATATTACAGACCATTCCTAACTTAGGGTCATTCAACTTTAGAATCCTTGATTTTGTAAGAATGTAAAACTAATGTAAATTCAATGGAAAACATACTTTTGATCCTCTTTGGGCTACTGATACACGTTCATCTGTTCTGTGAGGGACTATCAACTTAATCAAAGTGAACTCATGGTTAAGGACAGCTTGCTGCTGCCAAGTGCTGATGTGTGGTAGGTGAAGTGAACTAACTTTACGTTGGCAAGATACTTGCCGCTTTAGCATCTATTCAGAAGGATGCATGCCCAATATAAGTCAAGAAGGCTCTATAGAATATTTTCTTAAAATTTCTACAAATTCAGTTTCCTTTTTCAATTTTCTAACACTGCTGAGACTTTAACTGCTGTTGTGTTTTATTTTTATGTATAGTATAGTACATTTTAGTGCCATGAGAAAGTAATGTTAACATGTTTGTGTATGTTTTGTTAATAGAAGAAATTTCTAAATGAAGTTATATGCATATAAGCATTGGTATTTATTTTTATTAGCAAATATCACTTTTAAGAAGACATACTTTATATTGGTAATTACTGCTTCATATACTCTCTTAGAACTTCAGTATAGGTAGTGGAAAAACGATTTACGTTGATGATCAAAATTATCTTAAAGCACATATTAATTTTTCTACTTTTCTGAAAAATGAATGCATAAACATTAAAATTGTCCAAAAGCCAAATGTAATGATACGTGTCTGTAATTTTAGCTTATGAGAGAGAGAGGTGGAGAAAGGAGTGTCTGAAGTTCAAAGCCCACGCCAGTTACATAGCAAATTCAAGTTCAGATTGAGCAACATGAGACCCTGTCTTAAAAAAAAAGCAACAAATAAACCAACAAAATTAAACAAACCATACCAGAGTTTCCATATTTATACATTTCTTGGGAAATAGTTGAATGCAGAGGATATAGAAATGTATTTTCTTTAAGAAACACATTGCAGGAGGAAGGGAGAGGTGAAAATGATACGCAGATAATACTTATATACGAAATTCTTTAAAAAGTTTAAAAAGAAATATGCTGCCAAATTTCAAAGATGTACGATATATTAGCAATCATTTTACACATTCTTAGCAAAGGCATTTTAAGGTAATATATTATATAGACTTTATTTTGGAGTTTGTATCAAAATATTCCCATTTTTTTCTCAAATGAACTGTACTTCATGGAAGAATATAAATGATGTGAATAGAGAAAATGAAATGTCAAAAAGTTTTAAAACAAAACAATGTAACATGAGGGCTGGAAGGAGATTTGTGAACAGAAACAAGGCAGGGAATGTAACCAGATTGCATTGCCTATTTGTATGACATTTTCAATGAATAAATTTGCTTCAAAATTGGAGTCAAGGGACTTAATGGATGGCTCAATGGTTAAGAACATTGACTGCTCTTGTAAAGGACCCGGGTTTGATTCCTAGCACTCACATGGCTAGTAATAACGGTCCCTAACTCCAGTTCCAGAGATCTGATGTGTTCTTCTGACCTCTGTGTCCACTGAATGACACAGGTATACTTACACACATGCAGGTGATACACTCATACACATAAAATAAAAATTAAAAATAAAATATTTTTAAATTTTTGAGTTGAAGCTTCCAGACTGTAGTAGACGGAGGGAAAAAAACCTTACATTATTTTATAGCTAATTTAGTACAGTGTTCTCCCACCCTAGTTCTAAGCTTAAGAATCAATGATCACTCTACCAAGTTATATATCTCTCAAAGTGATTGAACCTAATGGTGTTTAAAAAGTAACAATAGTATTTAAAGACTTACTATTTTAATGTGTATATGTCTGTGTCTTCATTAGTTTATGAGAACTATGTGCATCCAGGAGACTGTGAAATCCAGAAGACAACATTGGATCCCCTGGAACTAGAACAGGCGGTGTTGAGTCCCATGTGGGTGCTGAGAACAGAACCCAATTTTTCTGCAAGAACAGTAAGTACTACAAACTTCTGAATCATGTCTCAAACAGCAAGAGTGTACATGGGAGTACAAAAATATTTCTTTTTGTTTTAAAATACTATACTGTTCACAGTAGATTGTTTCTACTGTGTTATATCAGGTTCTTTAAATGAAAACTCAATGTATATTTTATTGTAGCATAGCAAATTACCCCCTGTAACTTTGCTTCAAATATTGTCATCCAACAACTGGGTCCATATCTTTGGCTTCCATTTGGGAGATAGAGATTTGAGTCACTGAACCAGGCTTTACAATAGAGAATAGGTATTAAATTAAAATTATCCCTGATATTTGTCTATCAATCATTATGCCTACCCAAAAATATAATTGAAAGTTAGATTTTAAAACATTTTTGTTTTCTACACTATAATCAAAGAGAAAATTGCTCAATACAATTTTGGTTTTCTACAAAATTTCTGCCTCTTAAGCTGCTTTAGTGAGCAGATTTTGTTATCTGCAATGCCTCCCAGAAAGTCATG